ATGCTTAATGCAGGTTAATAGAGGTCTTTTATCTTCAGGAATCATGGCTGCTTATGTTGTTTTCCTCTGTTGGTCTGCTATTAGAAGGTTAGGACTTGATCCTGTTTACTGAACTCTTGCTCTGCATACACATAGGAGTTCTCCATCTGAGAATTAATGGGTGCTTTAAATATTTGGTTATTGGTTGTCTATCTCATAGGTTCAGAAAAGTCCTAATTTTAGTTTGTGCTTCCTTGATTTATTCTTTGGGCTAAATCAAATGAGCCCAGTCTCTTCATGCTTAATCAATAGTAGGTTTTCTGCATTTACTAGTTAAAGAGTTGCCTTTGGAAACAGAAATCTAAATTCCAGTTATATCATATGGCTTTTCAGTGAACCAGTCAACAAGAAATGCCATGCACAAAAGCAAGAAATCAGCAACAGTGATTGGACAACAATAGTTGTAAGAGTTTGCAATTCCTCCGAGCTGGCAATTCCTCCTTTCCCTTATATGGCAAACTACTCCTGTGGCTTTGAAATTTGGAATTGTTGAACAGATCTTTTCTTGTATCCTCACTTTCAGGGTTTCCTGATTGCGATTGGTGCAATTGTTATGGCAACCTTTTCAACTGGTATCGATTCACAATCATTTCAGGTAAACCAATTTCTGTTAACAGTCGTCACTGTTCCTCCTCCTAGGCTAAGCTAAGAACCATGAAATTAAAAAGAAATAACGAGCAGTAATTTCCCTGTCCAGTTCCGCAAAGATGAAGTGCAACAAGAGGATGACATCCCTTATGGCTATGGATTTTTCCATCTCATATTCGCCTTGGGGGCCATGTATTTTGCAATGTTATTCATCAGTTGGAACCTACAAAATTCTGCAAGGAAGTAAGTAGATTACTAAATACTAATACTTTCCAGTGCTCATCTAGTTTTTTTTTTTTTCAATGTTTGCACTTATTTGTATCTGTATATTTACGCGCTTCTAAACAATCAGATGGAGCATTGATGTTGGTTGGGCAAGTACTTGGGTGAAAATTCTCAACGAGTGGTTTGCTGCTTCAATATACTGTAAGTGAATACTGTATGTATTTGCTTTCCCTTATGTCACTTATGCAAAAATCATTTTGATGAATTCTCCACAACATCAACAATATTCTGTTTTCAAACGATTGTTATATAAATTTCGAGTAAAATGCTGCAATTCCACGCGAAACACTGACATTATTGTAATTTTCTTTATATTTCTCCTTCATTTCCTTTTTCTCTTATGCAGTGTGGAAATTGCTTGCCCCTGCCATGAGACAGCCAAAGGTCATGCACCGTCAAGACTCTCCGCACCATAACATTGACTCAACCGTGCCATGATTTTGTCAATTAAGATATAGCAATGGCATTCTCATTTGTTGTAATTCTATATTCTTTCGTTATTCTTTTGGCAGATACATATATATCCCAGATGAGCCTAAATTACATGTAAATGACAAATTAGAAGTCAGAATTTCTAGACTAACTCCATTCATATTTACCATTATTAGCATGCATAGACCAAACTACTTCACCCATTTTAGCAACATACCAACTCCATTCAATACTGCAAATCCCTATTTCAGGGCCAAGATTTGCTGCATATTCTCGCGCAAAGCACTCAAGATGTTCATTGCAGTACTAGTATCTCTCATGCATGTATCAATATCTATGACTGCAGCTGCAGTCGACCCAGCAGCGGCAACTGGGAAAGAACCAGTGCTTGAGCTATACATGTATGACATTCTTGGTGGCAGGAGTCCAACCTCTAGGCCGGTGACTGGTTTGCTGGGGAGTATATACAGTGGTCAAGTGCCATTTGCTAAGCCATTAGGGTTTCTTCCCCCAGCAGGTGGGGTACTTATCCCCAATGCTAATGGCGCCATTCCAACTGTCAACGGCCAAAACGGCCTCCCGTTAGGGACTAGCTTCGGAGGCACGGCTTTTGCTGGAAAACAACTGCTGGGTCCCGATGGCTTGGGACTTGGGTTCGGGACAGTCACTGCTATTGATAACATCCTGACCTCCAGCCCTGAGTTGGGGTCTCAGGTCATCGGAAAAGCCCAGGGAGTGTATGTGGCCAGCTCGGGAGACGGCAGTAGGCAGATGATGGCGTTTACAGCAGCAATTGAAGGAGGGGAATATGGAGACAGTCTTAACTTTTACGGAGTATACAAGATAGGAAGCCCCATGTCCCGTCTGTCAGTGACCGGCGGGACAGGGAAGTTCAAGAATGCAAGTGGCCATGCGGAGGTTAAGGCATTGATACCGCCGGGACAGCATGAAACAGACGGAGCAGAGACATTGCTGAGGATCATTGTGCATCTAAGTTACTAATGATTGATGGGCTGTGTCAAATATTTGCTTGTAATTTCAGAAAGACATAAATTACACAGATACTTGTGAGTTAGAATGAACATTGATCATTTTCATCATTCTCTTCTTTTTTTTTTCTTTTTTTCTTTTTTTCTTTTTTTAAAGGATCATGATTAGTTAAAAAAAAATCACCTGAAAAAGATGTGTTTTCAATAGTCTTACTCAAAAATTAAAACCAATAAAAATTACTATACATCATATCATAAAATTTTACTGTAAACAAATTATTTTATCTTCTTGTATAACCAAGGATAAATCGAGCTGTTATAAGTGTCTTGAATCAATTAAGATAGAACCTAACTCGAGCTTTAAAGAGTAATGTCTTTGAAACATTACCTGACATTTTAAACTCTTGTGCAACTTAATTCTTGTTAGGGTAAGAAAAAGATACAGCCTATATGGTTTGAGAGGAGTTGAATGGATAAGAAAAAGTAGCAAGAAGGGAGGCGCTTCTCTTTAATTTCTTTTATAATTTTAGCAAATCCAAACAAGGAAAGGAAGGGGTGGAAACAAGGGGAAAAAAACCCTTTAACACTAAGGGTAAAAACTAAAGGGATTTTCTAACCAAGTATCATTAATTACAATATTTGTAATTAATTTTTGTATAAATTTTGATATGTATGAAAATTTATACAAAATTATTTATAGATACTATAGTTAATTAGACTCAACCTGTGCCCCTTAAAGCACAAGTTAAGCAAATCCAAATTTCAAAATTCGTTCTTCAATCATGTTATAAATTTAGAGATTTAGAGATTGGAGGCCTTGAAAATTTGAACTTCTATTCATTTTTATGTATGAAGTGAAGGATTTGAACTTGAAACTTTTTTTGGGGGGAGGGGGGATACATCTCTCAAAACCTTTATATAAATTATATTGTCCTTAGGAAAAAGCTTTATGCACAACCATAACAATTGGACAAGGGTGGACCCCTTGATATTGAGAACCCTCCTCATTTAATGGCTCTTGTTTTACCGTCTAAACTATAAGACAAGTGTCTCTTGTCCTTAATCACTGGACAAAGCAACGGCAAACCTTGAATCTTGAACTCTTGATAGACAAGTAATTAATGCCAGAAATGAGTTTTGGACTCAGATCAAAACATATTTTAGCAAGAATCAACAACTCCAGACGTCCCTTTCTAAGGTTCTGTTGAACTATTTTCCTTTCTCAATGGTTCAGCTCTATCCCAACAACTCCTCATCTTAATTCTTAAATAGGCACTACCAAATCCAAGATGCAGAAAACAATGCAGACTCCAAAAACTGAAATCCAACGATCAAGTTTTCAGGTGATGGATTTCAAACATGCAACAGCCTCCAACCACCTGCCTTAAGCCAACTACATTGTGCTTTCAAACAAAAAATGAAGATAAAATCAGAAAACCTGAAACTCTCAACATGTTTAGGCTGTCAACCTGAATTTAATAAGTCATGGTTATCAACTTTTTCTTATGACACAAAAAGAATAAAAGAAGTTGGTGCTTAGCATTGTAGAGATTCAAATCCTAAGCTTAATTTCAAAATCAAGGTACTAACTTGGCTAAGTTATTGTTGGTGGCTGTTAAAACTTATTGCTTTGTGCTTCCATCGAAAAGTTATGCAAATGTTAACTAATACACCTAGAAGGCTAGAACAAATTTATAACTCCCAACAACTTCACCACTACAGGTTCATCCAACAACTTCATTTGACCCTGATCTTCTTATTTTTCTCTATTTAAAGAGAAGGTCCATAACCGATCTGCATATCAATCCAAAAACCTTCCTCCAGCAACTCTTCAGAGAACCAAAGACTCAAGTCACAAATCACAAGATGTTCAAGCTGCTACCACAACTTTTCACCACATTTCTAATTGCTGTTACCTACAGTGTGACGTACGTGACTGCAATTGACCCAGCACCAGAAGGAGAAGTCCTCGAGTTATACATGCATGATATTCTGGGAGGAAGCAGCCCTACGGCTAGGCCAATAACTGGCTTGCTAGGGAACATCTATAGTGGTCAAGTACCTTTTGCAAAACCTGTAGGATTCCGACCCCCTCAAGGAGGTGTCCCTATCCCCAATGCCAATGGTGCCATTCCAACCGTAAATGGCATCAATGGCCTCCCACTAGGAACTGGCTTGGCAGGACGAACTTTTTCTGGACATCAAAACGACCAAAATGGTAACCCTCAGATCCCACTAGGACCTGACGGATTGGAACTAGGCTTCGGAACAATCACTGTCATTGATGACATATTAACAGCCAGTCCTGACTTGGGATCACAGGTATTAGGGAAAGCTCAAGGAGTTTATGTGGCAAGCTCTGCAGATGGAAGCACACAGATGTTGGCATTTACAGCAATGATGGAAGGTGGGGAGTATAATGACAACCTCAACTTCTATGGTGTATACAAGATTGGAAGCACCATGTCATATTTATCAGTGACAGGAGGAACAGGAAAGTTTAAGAATGCTAATGGAATTGCCGAGGTTGGATCTCTTATACCACCTGGCCAACAGGTCACCGATGGTGCAGAGACCTTGCTGAGGATCACTGTCCATCTAAAATACTAAGAATGTTTTCGTTTTTCTACTATAAAATCATACGTCAGTGTGTGTGTGTGTGTGTGTGTGAAAATGAGTGTGGCCTTTGTTCTGAGATACCCTGTGAATGTTCCAACTTTCAGTCAAATTATTTATCCTCTATTTTATGTGGCCAATTATCTCAGTGTTCGCTCCACCCATGAGTCTAATAATCTATGAAGCAAATGACAACATATGCTAAAGGATTCAATCCCATAAAAGGGATTCCTTTACCAAAAATCGTAAAATAGAATTGCAAGTTTGCAACATACCATTCACCCAGCTCCTTGAGTACTATCCAAGTTTGTGACTTTAACGCGGGAAAGCAGAGAAGCTTGATCGAGCCCAAACAGGGAATCAATCAACTGCACCCGCAACGAAGCTGGACCTTTAGCCAATTCCATGCCAATCTCACCAGCAACACCAAAAATGGAAAATGCAGAGGCCGTGGCTTCTAAAGCATGTGATGGGTCGACAGCAACGAAAGCAGCTATCAGGGCAGTGACTGCGCATCCTGTTGCAGTGATCTTCTGCATCATGGCCACCCCATTGCAAGCACCAATAACTCGCTGCCCATCAGTCACCACGTCCACGGCGCCTGACACAGCCACTATCGAACCACTGGACCGAGCAAGGGCCTTGGCGGCTTCCACTGCGTCCAATGACTCGTGGGAGCTGTCTACGCCCTGGAAACCAAACCAAAATGATGAATCATAGGTTAATTAATTCTGTCGCGACTGTTCAATCGCGCATCAAGATTTCGAATTTCATGAAAATGAAAACCCAGTAACCTTCGACGATCCTAGAGAAGCACGAGACACGGCGATGATCTCGGAAGCGTTTCCTCTAATAACAGTAGGCCTAAGCGCCACCATCTCTAAGCAGGTTTTCAACCGGAAACTGGAAGCGCCGGCAGCGACGGGGTCAAGCACCCAGGGTGTCCCCAACTTGGAAGCCAACTCGGCGGCGGTCTTCATCGCCGGTATCCAGTCATCAGAGAGCGTACCCAAGTTGACGCAGAGCGCCGAGACCTGAGGGGTGAAGTCAGGGATTTCGTGTACTGAGTGAATCATGGCCGGCGATGCACCGGCGGAGAGAAGAGTGTTGGCCATGATATCCATGGAGACGAAGTTCGTGATGCACTGTATCAACGGCGATTGTTCCCGGACGGACCTGAGGTGGGCCCACGCTTTCGCGCCCCAGGCGTTTTGTTCTTCGGGTTTCACCTCCATTTCGGGAGACGCTGATGCGGAGCCCATCGGATTTCTGGGTTTCCCCTCATTCTGTGTGGAGTGTGGATAAACTTAGATCCCTTAAATTTCTTCATTTTTTCATTTTTACCCCATTATATGGTACCGTTTTGAATTACGTAGTCCCACACTATTTTCTCACTCATAGCATTTATTTTGTTAATTTTTCAAGTTTCATGTTTTTTTATGTGAAAGTGAAACTCTATAATACTATGTTTTTTTATTTGGCCTCCAACATAATAATATGTTTAAACATTAAAATTATTAAAATATACTTAGTGGTAAGAAAAAATTTTATTGAAGATATTTTAATAATTTCATATTCAAACTAGTTTTTATATACAATTTGAGTAAACAAAATACTTTATTATTTATTTTTATTATTTAAACAACCCTTCCAATATCATTTGATATTTTTATCATCTTTTATCAATTAATTTTAAGAAAATATTATTTTTGACCATTGATGAAGAGATAAGTTTCAATATCAAGAAAATCACTTTATGTATTAAATAATTTATTTTTTGATTAAGAGATCCACCTATATATGCATCAATTCATTTAACAGCAAATCATAATTGTATAATTATGATTTTATATAGCATTATAAGTATAACTATATTATTACCACTAGTCAAACTAATGGAGTAACTAATTATTGAAGTTATTAGACTGTTTTGGAAAAACATAAACTTTATAAACCAAAGTGATAAAATTTTGATAATTAATAGATAAGCCGATCTGATTGATTCTAAAATCACAATTCATATGACACATGGTACAACCAAACGGGGCCCTCGGAGATCAGCAGATTAGCAGTGAAAATCAGACAACCGAACGAACCATCCTGTCCCAGTCCCTGGAACCAAGGCAATGCAGCACCACCCCCTACCGCCGTCGGCTCCGCCGGCGATCACCGCAACCACTAGCATCCCATCCCTTAAAGACCACACCAGAACCACCCTCTACATAATCATAGCCACATCCTGTTTCTCCCTCATCTTCATCCTCTTCCTCCCCTATTCCCCCTCTTGGTCAAACCTCTCCATCACCACCCGGCCCGACCCACTTCTGTTTCCTAACAGACCCAGCTCCATCGCAGAGATCCCGTCCGAGCCCGCCCCTCCCGCTATTGCATACCTCATATCTGGATCCTCAGGCAACTCGGGTCGGATTCTCCGTCTTCTCTTCGCGACCTACCACCCCAGAAACCATTACCTCCTCCACCTCGACCGCTCTGCTCCCCAAAGCGAACGTGATCGGTTAGCTCTCACGGTCCAATCAGTGCCCATCTTTCGCGCTGCTCAAAACGTCGACATTATAGGGAAGCCCGATTTCGCCTACCCAAGAGGCTCCTCCCCAATCTCCTCCACGCTTCACGGTGCCTCTATTCTACTGCGTCTGTCGTCGAACTGGGATTGGTTTATCAATCTCAGTGTTGGCGATTACCCGCTGGTTACTCAAGATGGTAAGAGTTTTGGTTTTCCTTTCCTTTGTTGTGATCTGGGTCACTGTTTTTGGTGGCGTTTTGTATCAGTTCTTCGGTTTTCTAATTAGAGTATTTGAGGGTTTATCACTCTCAGGACTGTTTCCTTTGGCCATTATTGTTGATTTAAGTGGTTTAGGTTTCTTTGTTTTCCCTTTTTGGAGTTTCTGACTGTTCTTTTTGTGGATTTTGCAGATCTTCTTCACATTTTGTCGTATTTGCCCAAAGATTTCAACTTTCTGAACCATACCAGTTACATTGGCTGGAAAGAGTATGATAATTTAGTTCAACAATTCAAAGAATGAGCTTTTATTTATTTATACAATGTTAGATGATGGTTTTCGTTGCATTGAATGAGTTAAGTTGATGAATGCTGATTATTGTTATTTCTGTTCATTGCCTATAACTTATTTTAGGTCTAGGAGATTGAAACCGATAATTGTTGATACTGGCCTTTATCGTTTGGAGAAGTATGAGATATTCTATACGACAGAAAAACGGGATTTGCCTACTGCTTTCAGGTTGTTTTCAGGTGTGTCTCATTTCTGGCTTTCTTTTAAGTTAGTTTCCTGATGTTTCCAGCTATTTGCTTTTATGGTTTAATGGAGGAAATGATAATATGCAAAATTAGATAATCTGAGCATGCCTGGATACATTTTGAGAGTAGGGTTTTAGGTTAATAGACAATAGTTAACTAAAATATTTGGAGTATATTGCAACTTCCATGGCATAAACATCAGAAGAAAACATTGCATCTTTGAGACAAAATTTATTGCTTACCATACTGCTTTTATCATATTCTGTTAGGTAGACCTGCAATTGATATATTAGAAGGGAAAGGAGGCAATAAAGAATGTAAGGTAGATGTATACTGTCTATAACAGTTTGACCCAATCATCACTCTTCTGCATCCATTCTGTTATTATTATTATTATTCTCTAATGCTGGTATTTTGAGGAGTTTAAATTACATAAAACTAGCTTTAAGCGGCTTGCTTTTGCTTTTCTTGTTCTTTGTGGCTGTAGCCAACTGTTGCCTCTGAGGAATAATCCCACAAACATGGAAAAAGATTTAATTAGCTTGGTTAGGTCTGTTCAACCTAGTTGCATTAAAGGTGGTTACTTAGTGGTGATGGGGATGCATATATTAGCTTGAGTCTGGACAGAGCCTAGTTTTCAGTCTTGTGGATTAAAGGTCCTATAATCTGCATCATTTTCTTGTTACAAAGCAGTAGAGAAAGTTAGGGAGGAAGAGAGATGCTATGAATATAGACAAGGCAGTACTTAATTAGCATATGGATTTAATTAGCATCTCCCTGCATCCCCTCTTTCCTTTTGGCCATCCCCTTTTAGGTATGCAGGTTTGATTTCGACATATCATGCCATACATGCTGCATAAATACTAATGTTTGATACTGTTAGAGTAACAAATTGCTTTGGCGTTAAAAAAAAGGAAGAAGACAAACAAATTGCTCTTCAAAACTGGGTTAAAGAGATGTATGATTTGCCTCCCAAAAAAGTCCAAAAAAAGAAAGTGCTATGGATGCATTGGGATGACAGAATACCCTGCTGCATGGCTAGCTAAAACTTATCTCATCATTCCTTCACAACTTTATTGCGCATTGATAATTCTTGATAGTCTTGTTATTTTACCTTTCCTTACTACGAGGGAAATACTGCATCCAGCAAGCACTGAAGAATCACCACTGTATTATTATTAACTCTGTTTAAGTATCAAAATGATGCTTCTGGGGCAAAGGAAATTTCGAAAATAACACTAGAAGTCCTTTTTGCAGGTTCATCTTTGTCAATTTTAAGTCGTAGTCTTATTGAGTTCGTCATTCTGGGTACAGACAATCTTCCTAGGAATCTGCTGATGTATTTTTCAAACGCACCTTATTCCCTCCCAAACTACTTCCCCACAATTGTGTGTAATTCTCATCAGTTCAAGAGGACTGTTGTCAATGATAACCTGCAATACATTGCTTTCAACAAATCCTCCACAAGGACCACAACTAAGCCTCACCAACTCAGTTCAGGAGAATTTGATGCCATGATTCAGAGTGGAGCTGCCTTTGCTACAGAATTCGCCTTTGATGATCCAGTACTTGATCGCATTGACCAAGAGATTCTGAAACGCAGCCCTGGAAAAGTTGTACCTGGTGGATGGTGCTTGGGTGAGCCTGGAAACAGAACATGTTCAGTTTGGGGTGATGCTAATATTCTTAGACCTGGCCCAGGAGCAAGAAGACTCGAAAAACACATTGTTGAGCTACTGTCAAATGGTAGGTTTCATTCTCGCCAATGTGTAGTTGAATGATCTGAATCTCCACCCATGTGAGAAAGTGATGGAACCCAAACCCAGCCAGGGGGAGGTAAGAAAGAATTCTCCTCGCATGATATGAAGCCTGTACTAACAGTACCACAGGGGAGAGGTAAGTTAACTGTGTTATTCACAGCCCACAGTGTTTGGTTTAATCACTCATTTTTTAACTACCAAATGATTACCTAGGATGTGGCTGTAATCTAGTAAGTGAAACAGGATTTGGAGGTTGTTGTGAATGAAGTAGGATTTTAGTGAAATAGGATTTAGAGGTTGTTGTGAATGAAGTAGGATTTCAGTATCTTATTTACTTAGGCAGCCACTTGTCTAACAGGGCAGGTGCACTTGACATGTCCTTAATCAAAGATTGATTGTACGTCACAGGCTGCACTGTCAATTCTTGGAATTTTTTCGAAGATGTTGGTGTGTAAATTATAATGATCTGAATATGGAATAATGGAAATGTCCTCTCTTTTTTTTCTTTTTCCGTCTCGTAATGTACCCATGTCAGCTTTTTTCGAAGAATCTTAAAAAGCCAAAAGTGTAATATTACAGAGCATTTAACGGCGAGATGGCGATGTAAGGAAGATGGTTGGTCTTTTTTGACCTGGTTTCTTTTTTTTTTTTTTTTGGCAAAGTTAAGGGATTACCATGAATTCCTTTTTAGGCAGAGTGATGATCATGACTCTTCTCGTAAAATTTAGGGATTTTTGGTGACGTTGTCATTTTTTTTATCATAATTTTATAAAATAGTAGAATTTACTAATGATGTATTTAGTGAATATTTTTACTATTAATTTATATAAAAGAAATAAAAATTAATTTTAATTTTTTTTTTACCAGTGAAAAATTGAGAGAAAGAAAAATAATTATAATATTGCTGCATTGGCAGCTTGAACCCTTGACAAAAAAATCAAGAGTGTTGGTGCACTGTCATCGCGGCTAAGGCTGCAAGTGCAAATTAATTTTAATTTTATTAACTGTTTAATTAAAACATCTGATATAGTATTACTGTTAAAAATAATATTTACTTATTTTATTTTTTATACAAATTAATGATAAATTTATATAATAAATTAATGACAAAATTAATGATACAAATGGTACGTTTTTAATTTTATAAATTAGATGAGTTTTTAAAAAAATTCATGCTCTCTATCATTACTCCACAAATTATTGTTTGATTTAAAATAATTTGTTACCCCAAAATAGCCAGTTTCTCCTCTCTATGCCAACTTCTCTTCTCTATAAATTAAGAGGAACCAAGTTCTCTCAATCCCAACAAAATGGACTTTTCTTCTCAACAACATTTCATGCTCCTAATCCCTTAGCATTAGGTTTCTTTCTAACTTCAAGTAATGCAGGTTTTTCCCAGCATCGACCTCACTTTTCATTGCAAGTCTGCAGTTGATGATCTTGGAGAGACAAAGCTTCCCTACCAAGGTACTCGGAATTTTAGCTTTCGCCCAACCTTTTGGGGCAGAACACAATTTTACTGTAGTTTTGTGTGGCAAGACCAGTTCCGTTATTTCGATATTTTCATTGTTAAAAGAGATTTATAGAGATTATGACAAAGACCATACATGCTTGTGGAGGATAATACTCAATGGCCCTTGTAAACTCAATTATGCTACCCATAAGTATGATATTGGTTATCCGTGGAACAAACCAAGTGCTTAGAATTAATGTGATGAGAAAATAAATAGTAAACACAAACAAATATGCTTTGAAATTCCATTTCTGAAAATGCTCACAGTCTTGTCTCTATAATTTTTGTGTCTAATTTTATTTTTTAACATTGAGAATTGTGAAAGAAGGGACACTAACTACATAGTATGAAATATTGATTTGAAATGGAGGTTAGAGATACTTATGTACGGTACAATTTAGATCAAGGTCATTAAGAAAACTATATATATATCGAACTATCATCTGTACAATGGTGTTTCTATACTGTATTGATTGCAAAAGTACAGATTTTGAGAAGAAAATCAGTTAATCTTCTGAACTTAACCTGCTGTTTGTGAAAGAATGGAGACAGTAATTTCTTGCTGAGCAAGTAACATGAGGAAGAATCAGAAGCCAAGAAACAAAAGTAATCTGAGTTTGGAAATGGTTACTCGTCTTTTAATGGAAGATCATAGGCAGGGGACAAAACGAAGTTGCCTTCTTGCTCATTAGTCTCTAAAAGCATCAAAACAACTTCTCTCATGGATGGCCGATCCGTAGGGGACATGCTTGTGCACATTAAAGCAACTTTTAAGACACTAATCATGTGATCAATGGTGCTTCGATCTTCAAGATTTAATCGAGCATCTAATATCCCAGATGTCAATGAATTTTCCCGAACATAACGTCTCACGAGAGTGACAAGATCACCTCCCTGATCCAGTGACTGAACTGGAGTCTTTCCGGTTAACAACTCCAACAGAACAACCCCATAGCTATAGATGTCACATTTTTCTGTAACCTTCATAGTGTATGCATATTCTGTCATATAAAAGATATCAAATATCAATCTATATGTCCACACAGCCTAATTAAGCTAAGAAAATATAAAGAAGAAACTCTTAAAACATGATCCTGAACCTTTTTGTTCAATTGAACAGCAAGCATGGTCGCAATAGCAAAATATTTTAAGAGCTTACCAGGAGCAATGTATCCATATGATCCTGCAACGGCTGACATTGACTTAGAATAAGGCATGTCAATCACTTTTGCCAAGCCAAAATCACCAACATGGGCTTCAAAGTTATCATCAAGCAAAATATTATTTGACTTAATGTCACGATGAATGATCCTTGGTTTGCAGTCATGATGTAAATAAGCAAGACCTTCAGCAGCTCCAAGAGCAATCATGAACCGCGTTGGCCATTCTAAGGTACAAGAGGCACCATGAAGCAATTCCCCCAAGCTACCCCTTGACATGTACTCATAAAGAAGCAGATTGGAACCCTGGTGATAGCAAAAGCCATAAAGCTTCACGATATTTCTATGCCTAATCTTTCCTAAGGTTCGAATCTCAGCCCGAAAACTATTCTCAATGTTGCTTCCCTCACCGCTGGATGCAAGCTTTTTAACAGCAATGGTTTGTCCAGAATGCATAACTGCTTTATAAACTGTTCCACAAGCTCCCCTTCCAACAATATAATTTTCATGAAAATTTTTTGTTGCAGCAATTAGATCTGGGAAAGTAAATCCCTCTTTTGGAGGAAAATAAATATCTGAAGCCTGAGATATCTCCTTATCTTGTGAGGAGGGAACTGTCTCCACTGGGCGTCTCATGAAATATAAAATAATCATGATGAGAATAAGAGACACTCCACCTATAGCAGTCATTACTACTGCAATAATTTTTCCTCGATAAGCATTCATACTTCCCAAAGTCCCCACAGAAGAATAAGATGGACCACTGCAATGTGGGAGAGGTTTACCACAAAGCCCTTTGTTTCCAATAAAGCTACTGAGAGCCATGTTCTGAAACAATGGTATAGCAGGCAAAGGACCAGTTAGGTCATTGTATGAGAAGTTGCATCCCAATAAACTTGACAAGTTTTCAAATGTGCTGGGAATATCACCACTCAAATTATTGTTATTCAACAGGAGAAACACCAGCATATTAAGATTCCCAAGCTCTGGAGGTATGCTCCCAGTGAGATTGTTGTTGCTGAGGTTCATTGCAATCTGCAAGCTTGAAAGAGAACCCAACTCTGGGGGAATCTGACCTGAAAATAGGTTGCCACCCATCTGCAGCTCAGTCAAATGTGAGAGGTTTCCTAAAGATGCAGGTATATTTCCAGAGAATCTATTTTCTGAAACCATGAGAATCTCCAGTTGCCGAAGGGTTCCAAGCTCATTTGGTAAAGTACCTGTGAAGCTGTTTTGGCAGAGATCGAGTCGTTGAAGCATCTTGCAGTTAACAATTTCTGATGGAATCGGTCCAGTGAGCAAATTAGATGACACATTAAAAGTCACCAGTTGAGACAGATGACCTATTTCCTTAGGTAGCTCAGAAGTGAAGTAATTGTCTGCAATATGGAGCCTTTGAAGCTTTTGGCAAATTCCAATCTCTGGAGGAATTGGTCCAGTAAAATTATTCTGGTCCAATTCAATAGCAGAAAGATTCACCAGTTTGCACAGCTCAGAAGGAAAGCTTCCAGTGAGCATGTTTCCTACCAGACGAAGTTGCACCAGAGTTTGACAATTCTTGACCCCAGTTGGGATATCTCCATACAGCTGATTAGACCCAAGGTTCAGCAAAATGAGGTTAGAATTTTGACAAAGGTGAGGAGGTATTTTTCCAGTCAGAAGGTTGTATGAAAAATCAACCACCCAAAGTGGGCTGTAAAGCCCAAGTCTCTGGGGAATGGTACCACTTAGAGAATTCTCAAAAAGCTGCAACTGCATCATTTGAGTTAAATATTGAAAACCATAAGGAATAGGACCTGTTAGATCATTGATTGATAGGTCAAGCTTTGTCAAGTTCTTCAAGCTGCACAGTTCATTTGGTATGACACCTTTGAGCTGGTTCTGAAAGAGGTAAAGCAAGCAAAGGCCCTTTATCCTGCTCAGCTCAGCTGGGATCTCCCCTGTCAAAGAATTTTCTGAGAAATCAATTTCAGTTGCAAGAGAAAGATTCCCAATCTCCCTTGGAATGGTTCCATTCAACTGGTTCCTGTAGAGGTACAACTTCTTCAGAAACTTGAGGTTTGCAAGCTCTGCAGGGATCTGCCCCACAAGACCATTTGCATACAAAGCAAGGGTCTGAAGGCTTGTACAATTCCCAAGTTCTTTCGGAATAAACCCTGATAGTTGGTTCTGCCACAAAATCAGATCAGTCAAGTTCTTAAGCATCCCAATTTCCTTAGGCAGTTCCCCTCCAATAAGGTTCTGGGCAACACCAAGCATTTCCAAGCTCTGGCATCCACTTATTTCTGTGGGTATGCTCCCAGAAATGGAATTCTGTCCTGCTCGAAATATCCTCAATTTCTGGAGATTACCAATAGAACGTGGCAGTGAGCCAGTCAAATTGTTGGTGTATGCCACAAACTCATCAAGTGAAGACAAGTTTCCTAGTTCCTCAGGAAGAGAACCAGAGATTTTGTTGTTGCATATATTCAAACTTCTTAAATAAGAGAGCTTACCC